TCTGCTGCAGCGCCCGCCCGAACATCCTGCCTCCTGAGATGCGGTGTGCCCCCTCCCTCGTGGCCTTCAGGAAAGGGATCAAATCCTGGCTGTGCCAGAAGGCGTGGGGGCCAGAGGGGGGCCTGCACCTGTGGAGATGGCTGGTGGGGTGATGGGTTGTCCCCCACCCCCAGCATCTTACAGGTTTTTAAGGGCTAAAATCATAGGAGGTTTTTAGGGCATTTTTAATATATGTTTTTTAATTATAGATTGTATCCATGTTTGGAGAGACCTGTGTTTTTTCTTCTTTTTTATTATTGTGAGCTGCCCAGAGTCACCCATTGGGGGAGATGGGCGGCATACAAGTCTGAAAATAAATAAATAAATAAAATATTGGATTATTTTTCAACGTAGGCTGGCAAATCATTTTGATTTTGCAGACCCCTGAGAGGATCTTGGAGGACCCCAGGGGTACATTGCTCTAGACACTGGCCACTCTGGTTCAACTAATGTTAGAGAGAATACTGCTTCTCGCACTCCATGTTCCACCCTCGTCTTTGGAAGACCTTGGCATGCTAATTTGCACACACTATTATTGGTTCTCTCCTGCCCAACCCTGGACAGCCTGACAACTGTCTCTCACCTCTCGCTCTCTGTGCTGGTAATATAGTGTGCAAGCATACACACCATACCCTTCATCTCTTGCTCTCTATGCATGCTGTTAAGTCTGTATGCAAGTGCGTACACAATGCTTGCCTGACTCTTGCTCTTTGGGCTGGCAACCTGGCACACATACCAGTTCTTGCCCTGTCACTGCAGGGCATTGTGGCCCCTCCCACAGTTCCCTGGGGTCACACCATGAAACTCAGGCACTCTGGGATTTCCGGTGGGAACATGGCAGCTTAGACCCTCTCCGTAACAGGGAGAGATGACACTGCAGCTGGATTGGTGGCTGGCAGCAAGTGCTGGCCACTCAATTTGCTCTGAATAAAGGAGGAAGTGAGGAAATTGACCCATTTGGTCTCTTGCCAGCTGTTCCTGGAAAGCTAATCGCAGAGACTGAAGCCTCTGTGAACCACTCTCAAGTCAAGCGGCTGGGAGGTGGGGGAACCATCTCCGTTCGCTGCTGTGATGCAGCCTTAATGGATACTAGAGCCGACCGATTCCCATTTCTGAAACACTTTGGCTTATAATTATTTTTCAGCTTAAGAGAAATTTTCCTTCACAACAGATAAGTAAACCTCTTGGGGCTTATCCTTATTTCTGGGACTATATTTTTAAATGAGAAATAGAGTTTTAAATTAAGCTGATTTAATTCACAAAAAGCTGGAGGAAAAGTGGAACTTAAAAGAGACTTAAAATTTACTCATAGTGAAAAAGGAAGATTTATTTGTTAAAAGTTTTTTTTTTCATGAAACTCCATCTGCAGCAACGAAGTTTGTCTTTTCTACGGGAAAGTTTTATGTTTTGTTCAGTTCTGTCTGCTGATTGGTGAGTCTTTAGAAAGAGAGCTAGACTGTAACTTGATTCCTATGTGATCCCTTTGAAGCGAGCACACACGCCTGCAATTTTAGCTTGAAAGGCACTAGAGGGCGTGAACTACAGTTTACTTTCATTTGTAACTAACTATATCTGGCTATACATTTTACTAGTCTAAACGGAAAGGGAAAAAAAGAAGAAGAAATGGCTAAAAGGGGTCCCTTGGAGCAGCCACTAGAAGGTAAAATAACTCCTCTAAGTCTACTCCAGTCAATGTTTGATGAACTAGGAGCTAGATTTAAATCCCTTGAAAAAAAGATAGAGGAAAGTGTGGATAAGATGATTAACTCTGGAAAAAAGGTGGAGACTGAACTGAATGTGGATTTGGAGCTCAAACCCAGGCACACTGAAGCACATTTCCCCCCCTTTGAATCCAAAGCACTGCACAGCCTAATATTAACAACCAGTTAGCAACCTAGAATAAAATGACTTCAAAGGTGACCAATAACCACCAGAAATATGTGAACCATTTGTTCTCAGCGAACAATCACCCTCAAATTGAAGCCCAGGATAATATGGTAAACCACACTTGGGCATATGGGATGGAGCAGGCCTCAGTTTAAATAGGCAGTTTTGCAGAAACTGACATAAGCTGGAAAAGTCTAGCTCTGGGCTTTTGCCTATGGATGCAAAGCAATAAACCGCAATATTGGGTCAACTCTCCAAGATGATTAAGAATGACAATTATACCTGCACTTCAATTTGCAGATCTTTGTCCAAAAGTGCTCTTTTCTTCAGTATTTCAGATTTTAGTTGCTCCTTATGTTTGAAGAGTAGAGCAGAGAGTTTTGAAGCATTCTGTTTACTGCGCTTTTGTTCCACACTCTCTTCCCGCTTTCGTTTCTTAGCCGCCTGCTTTTCTTCTTTATCTATCTTATCCAGAATATATTTCATGACTTGGTTGCACACTATCATTCTGGGGAAGAAAAACAAAGGGTGTAATTAAGTAGTAGTAATATGGGGGGGAAAAAAAAAAAGACCGACAACTACATTTGAGACAACATAATAATTATACTCCAAACAGCATAGTTCTCAACTGGGAATGATAGTCTTTTTACTAAAAGGTAGTACTTCTGAGCTTGCTCTCAGCTCATCATTACATGCTGATCTGTGCATCCTACAATATTAAGAAGGTAAAGAAAGCACTGCTGGATCAAATCAATGGTCCTTTTGGTTAGGTCCATTGCGCCTGAGGACACAAATTCCATAATTTAACTACAGACTGTGTCCATGGATGACCCTGAGTCAGGAGCATCAACTAGCAAGTTTGGTCTAGTTCTTGTTAACCAGTTGTTAAATTTTGTTCGGAAAAGCAGAGAATGGGAGAAGGATACATCAGACATACTGTATGTAGTGTTCCTTATTTATTTACAACTGGTCTTTCTCTTAGTTTTAAAAGCATATTGTATACCTTGCTGTCTTTTGCTGCTCCTGCTGCCTCAGCAAGTAGCAATTTAATCAGTTTGTCATTACTGCTCCACCGGGTAGCACAAAGAAGCCATGGACTGGAGCAAAATAAGCCTAATACCCAAGTCTGCGCCAAGCATGCAAGTGTGATTCAACTATTGCAACAACAACCCATTCGTAATAACTTCTTCTGGTGTCAATGGCATCCTGGGAAATGTAGTCCAAAGGCAGCTGGACTTCAAAAGGACAAGTTTCTTCCTTGGAATATGGTCTTCAATTTTTCCATTTATATCATCCCAGAAGAACTAGTTATTTTTCAGGAAGAACCAGTTAAAAAGCTTCTCAGGATGTCAGTGCATGCAAAAGACCCTGGAATGGGGTAAATTTTTCTCCAGGCAAAAAGGAAAGATCCCTTGGAAATAAAGGGCCCCTTTTCCAAACACCCTTCCTTAAAAATGGTCATGAGAAATAGGGTAATAAAAAATCAAGGTGGAAATGCAGAAATATGTAATTTTTTCACGTTTAGGATAGGTCCCTAACTTCCCCAATCTCATCTTTGCTTACATTTCTAGTCAGAAAGTTTGCACTGTTTAAATACCATTTCTGAATGGGAGTGCTTGTCAAGAAACAAAATTCAAATGAAGAGGGGGAGGGGGAGGAGATCCCTAGCTAGATCAGATCTAGGTTTCACATGCAAGATGCATGGCTAACCGGGCACAGTAAAAGTTTTCTTTAAAAAAATTAATACATTTATGCATAATGGCATAATGTGATGCTGCACATCTTCTTGATTTTTGTGTTATGGCCCTCAGGCTAATGGAACTACTCTTCATGCAATATTTGAGACAATCTGAGTTTAAGACTCCTGGTATATAGTAATCAAGCTGCTTAAAGTATTTTGATACATGAGCCAAGAAATCCACCAAGTACTTCTCCTTATCCCTGGCATCAAAAATAAACTAACTTCTAAACATTCAACAATTTGCTGTCCTTTCATCACACTGAAAAACTCCTTCCTACCGTGCCTGCTTTGCTCTGATATGTATGCACGTATATATGCACAATAACATTAAAAGAAAAAAGTTTTTCTGTATATACTGATTAAGAACAACAACATGCTGTATTTCTTGGGCTTTTTGGCATACTGCCCCTCCTCCAAATCTGCTGATTTACCCTAAAGCATTTTTAAAAAATCATTTAAGTAACTGTGGAAGAGGCTTCTGTATTGAAACAGCACATCGGTGCAAACAGAAAAAAACAGCTTAAAAAACTTCTGAATTCTCTAGTTTCCACTTCATCAAGGCTACACAATGCCCATCATGTGGATGGAGCATGGAAGCTTGCACATACACCAGATTACCCCATCCCAGGTGAGACTATGGAAAGGCAAGTTGCTGTAGGCAGCTCCACCAGAAGAGCAATGCTTGGATAGCTTGAGGAGCTGTCAGTCCTTAGTCTGTTAACCTTGGTGCCCAGCAGCTATTGACAGGAAGGAGCCTTAGATCTGACTTGGTTTTTTTACAGAGCTGCAAACTACAGACTGCTGCCCAAACTGCCCTCTTCCTATATATATATAAAAAAAACTTCTACTAAGGGAAACACTCAACACCCCCACCCTGATTTTTGTATCCCGCTGAAACAATAATAAATTCTGAAGGTTAATACTTGAGACATAACTCTTTTGACAATAGTACAGATGTTATATTTTTGGTTCAGTCTTGTTCTTGCGAACCAGTTGTTACATTTTCTGTGTTCTTCCTGAGGGATGCCAAGCTGGGTTGTAGTGCTGACCCTACACACCTGCTCTAGGCAGTCCAAATTTGGCACTTCCTGTGCCTCTTTTACATCTTGTATGTGTCTATATCTGCACATTCCTATGTTGGCAATCTCACCATCACGTGGCTGGTTGGGAGTCATTACAGATAATAATCGGAACTGGCTGTTACTTAATTTTAGGTAACACGCCTGCCCTGAATTCTAACATTGGGAGACACAGAAAAACACTTCTTTTCCTTCACCTCTTAGAAATATAGGCTTAGTTCTCAACTAACATTCTGAACCCATAAGATGACACATTTAATGGCAAAGGATGAGGGGGAAATTTTACTATGCCCTATGGCAGTAGCTTACACTCTAAAAATCTTTCCAAACAATAGGGAGGACCTTCTGCAATATGAGGGGGTGTGAGTGTGTGCATGTGTGTGTAGCATACAGGGCTGGAGGGAACAATGGGTGAAAATAATAACCACATTGCTCTTCTTCTAGGCAAAGTCTCTGCTGGATCAGAAGCCCCTTCCATTTCCATGTAGCATATGAGAACTCAGGATCCCACCCATTGTGGAAGCTACTGCAATTGGTGCTGCACTACCATATTTCACTGCAGCAGGAAACACTGGAAGACATATACAATTAATATCTGGCTAATAACAATTTGCCTTACCGTTGATTCTCTTCACGCTCAGCAGGAGTTAATGTCTTTTTCTGTTTTAAGTGCTCTATCACAGCATTGTGTTTCATTACCACCTTCAAGACAGGAAAAAAAATCCAATATATGAAAACTTCAGAGAGCAAGAAACAACAACCTGGGAAATCTGGGGACCTCTTTAAACCTACAAGTAACTCAAAACCTGAGCACCAGAGTGATTAAACTGAAAGTGGCCTTTAATTGTTCAGCCGCTGCAATTCAGACAAAAGGTATTTGCTTGCCTTCCTCTGAAGCAAAACTGAAGAGTTCCAAAAGGAGGAAGGAACAGGAGAGGTGGAATACTGGCTGCAGAGAAAAAGCAGGAAAAGAAGGACCAGAGCTGGGAGTATAACACATCCTTGCTTAGGAACAGAAAAATTAAAACAAAAACAAAGCTATCGAAGAAAGGAGCCTGACAGACAGAAATAAGAATGCTATGAGAAGATTTCTAGAGGGAAGACTATCTTAAAAAGCAGAAAAAATCAGTCTAGCTTAAGAGTTTAGGAAAGACGTTTGACCTAGGACCTAATCCACCATCATTCCTTTAATGTTTCAGGTCTCTCTCTGTCTTTAACTTGCTCCAAAATGTTCTTGATCTGCTTTCAGATAAAATAATGAGGGATTTGCCATGCTGTTTGAGATCATTATCATCGCAATTTCTGTTTCTTATTAGATTCTTATGTTCTTTCCTTCCACAGATTCTCAAGCTTCAAGAAAATCCCAAAGAAAATGAGGGAGAATCAAAGGAAGAAAAAACAGGAAGGAGTTCAGAAGCAAGGCATCACTGATGTCCTAGCGGTTGGAGTGAGATGGGAGGAGGGTTTTTTCCCCACAGAAGACTACAGACATATTTGATGGACCAGTCCCCTGTCTCCTGGAGCAAAGGTCAGGAACAACCTGTGCAAGGATACTTTCTTCTGCAGTAGGAAAAGTTAGATAATTTATGTGATATATTTTGTTCCTGAAAATATTTTAAATATTTGGCAATAGAATTTATCATACCTAGGATTTCTTCTCTAAATCTATCCTTAATATTCTACAGTTGAGGAAAAATGGGACAAAAGATGTCAGGATTGATAGTTTTACTCTGCTTTTACTATAACCTGAAAGTCCAAAATTGTAAAGGCCAAACACAGAGAACAGTTGAATACTGAGTGCAGTCCTGGTTAATCCAAGCTTTTTTCAATTCTGCTGTTTAATTTAGGATTGAAGGGAGCTTTCTCTTGCTGTTATTGTTCAATAACTCTGAAGCTATGTTAAAGAGATTTATATAGAATATCTCTTACTTTCACAAGAAGCAATATAAAAGGCACGTCACCAAGGATTTAATCCTCTAAAATTTACTGATTTGTCCTTATCATACTTAAACAAAAGAAAGATGAACCTGAATTTAGAATAAACCCTACCCAAAATGATAATTAAACAGAAAAAAACCCCCCTCATTTGTTTCTTTCTCAGCCAATCTAAGTTAATTCTCCCATTTTAAAAGTTAATTTTGGGGGTGAGGGAGAGATTCACTTTTGTTTCAGGTAAATATAATGATATGCCAACTGAGAAATAAAGTTTTGCTTTCCTTTGAAAACATTTTACCTGTTTTTGGATAATATCACTCTGATTAGAAGCCTGAAGGGAGTGTTCCCGTTTTATTTCAATATGCTGCTGTTTTTTCTTCTGCTGTTGCTCTCTGAGCTGCTGAACCCTTTGCAGTTGCTCTTGAACACTGGCTTGAACAGTTACTACATTCTGGATCTGATGTGTTTGCACCGAGCTGGCCTGCTGAATCTGAATTGGTAACTGGAGCTTAATCTGCTGAGACAGGCCACTTTGCTGAGCTTGAATCTGGGCCACCATATGGGACTGAAGCTGGGAAAACACTTGGACTTGCTGCTGAAGCTGCGGCACAGTAATGACCTTGGTCTGGGGGGGCTGAATCTGCAGCTGAGGGCGTGGAGACGGTACAGTGACTTGGTTGGCAGGCTGAGCAGGCGGCAAAGCTGGGAGTGACGTTGGGACCTGGGACTGCTGGGTCTGGATCTGCACTGAAGGATGTGGTTGGATCTGAACCTGTTGTGGGGCTGCGGTCTGTACCTGAGTTGGCTGGATCGTCTGTCCTTTGGGTGGAGTCTGCGGATGCGCAACTGGCTGGGACTGGTTCTGTGCTGGAGGTACAGGCTGCCCTTGTGCAGGGCTCTGGGGTGGGGGCTGAGCCACAGCTGGAGTTACAGTTGATGGTGTTCTTGGTGGCTGTGCTTCAGAGGTAACGGCTGGACTTGGAAGCGAAGGTGGAGCCTGAGCTTCTGGGGGCAGGAGGGGTTCAGCTGGAACTGGCGCCTGCGCAGTCTGCGTCTGGGCTGGCATCACAGTCTGAGCCGGACCACTTGGGGGCTGAGCTGGGAGCGGAGTCTGAGCAGGCTTGGGCTCAGCAGGTGGAAGCGCTGGCGTTGGCTGTGTTTGAGTCTGTGCAAGAGACGTTTGCCTCTGTTCTCCTGCAGCTGGGGAGATAAAAGAAGCCTCATATTCACAGCTGTAAAGAACAACTCCTTTGCCCTAAAAGCATTCATTACACATTACCCAGTGATCTGAAGCCTGAACCTTATTTTTTTAAAAAATTATAATTTAGCTTTATAAAGACCTCCCAACTTAGCACAGATTCTGGGCTGTGTACAATTAAAATCAATACAATACCTAAAAACAGAGAAAATAACATGACACAGAGTTAAAGTCACAGTGGAAACAACATACAATAACCAAGGCACTCCACACAGCAAATGGCACAACACCAGTCTACCCCAGAGCTTGGAGAAAAAGCCAAATGCCTAAAGATTAAGCAGGCACCATGATAGAGAAAGCGTGCTCCCTAGGTTTCATCAGATGGCCTTACTTAAGAGAGGGGACATGAAACATGCCCCCTATGTTGGATCTTATGGGGCAGGCAAAAATGATGGGAGACAGGCAGTCCCTCAGATACTCAGACCCTATGCCATGAATGGCTTTATAGGTGATAACCAGCACCCTGAATTGCACCCAAGCGCTTACTGGTAATCAGTGCAATTTGCATAGCATAGGTATTAGACTGGTGGACCAAAGTATGCTGATAACTGCTTACGGCACTGCATTCTGGATCAGTTATAACTTGCAAGTGGTCTTCAGGGACTTAATGTAAAGTATATTGCAATAATCCACATGTAAGGTGATCAAGGCATGCGTGATCATGAGACAAGATTCATGGTCCTGTTACCCCATTTGGAATCAACAACAGAAAATCACCAGCACCAGAGGAGCCAAGTATTCACAGCCACTTGGTCTTGTCAGGGTTGAATCTGAGCCTGTTCCTGCCCTTCCAGACCTGAACAGTCTCTAGATACTGGGTTATGATTTCAACAGCATCATCTGGGGCAACATATGCAGCTGAGTATCATCAGTATATTGATGGCACCTGACCCTACAGATGACATCACCCAATGGCTTCATGTAAATATTAAACAAGAGAATTGAGAGCATCAAATCCTGAGACATCTTGCAAAGCAGGGGCTTTGGTTCAGACCCTCTCCTAGTTGTCCACACTGACTGGAACCAGCCATGGAGAAAGGAGGAAAAGCACTGCAGTACCTTGCCTCCCACTCCCAGTCCACAAGAATGTCATGATCAATGATATTGAAGCTGCTATGAGATCAGAAAGAACTAGAGCAGCCGCATCACTCCTTTCCTGGCTCCACCAGAGGTCATCAACAAATGTGATCAATGCTGTTTCTGTAGTATGCTCTGTCCTGAAACCTTACAGAAACAGATCTAGATAATCTGTTTTCTCCAGAGCCCTCTGGAGCTGTAGTCTGACCATTTTCTTCTAAAAAGGGAAGGCTGGGGACTGAATGAAAATTGTCCAGAACTGTTGGATCCAGCAATTGCTTCTTGAGGAGGGGGATGCACCACTGCTTCTTTCAAGGCAGGCAGAACCTCCTCCTCTCTAAGGATAAATTTAGCACCACATAGATTTGTTTACACGTTACCTCCCAAGAGGCCTTAACCAGTCACAAGGGACATGGATCTAATAAACAAGTGGCCAGATCAACAGTCATGAGGTTCCTGTCCTGTTAAACAGGAGAGGTAAAATAATTAAATCCTAAGACAGCCCACAAACCAGGAGCTTTGGGTCAGACCTTTCCCTAGCTATCAACACTAACTGGAACCAGCCATGGAGAATGGAGGAAAACTATAAACTCTGCCTGCCCCATGTACAGCCTGCTCCTAGTTTCATATTTCCCTGAGCCCATCACCACTTGGGTAGTAATGCCTGCCCTATGTCAGTTCCCCTGCCCCCCATCCCTATCTCCTGCCCCCAAGACCCAGAAACATCTTCAGCAAACTATCAACCACCTTCAGTCACCATCAATCACAGCCACTCCCCCTACTGCTTCTGCTGTAGCGCAATCAGTAGGATCAGGGCAGCCAGGTTCTCATAAAGGCTGCTCAACACATTCACTCCCATCCTACACAGGGCAACTGCAGGGCTCAGGTGAGTCTGATACACCTCCACCCAACCCAGTTTCTGCTACTCCAGCTCCTCACCACGACACCACAAATAATCTCTGCTGACTGAGAGACCAATCTGCTTCATCTGCAAGCCTTCATGTCACGCAACTCCTCTCAGTCAGTTGCGCTGCCTGAAATAACAGGATTTTGAGTAGGCCCTCAAAACTGTCACTGCAATGAGCTGAGACACCACCTCTTCAACCGAGATGGAAATGCACTGAATAAAGCCAAGATGTCTACACAAAGGCCCATTCCTCTGCCACTGGAAAGGTTCAAATCATTTCTCCCACTCCTCCACAGTGCATCATCCCATTCTTTCTCTGCTCATATCTGAAACCTGCACTCCCAACTAGAGTGCAGACTAGCATCACAACACAAAGTCCATCCAAGTGCTCCCAAAACAAAAACAACAAAAAAGAAGCCTACAGAAACTAATTTTTCTCATGCCCAGCACAGACACTGAACTTTCTCCCAACCACCACCTTGGGAAAAAAATGAGCATTTTTTAGCTTGTATGAAAATTCTGAATTACTTTTTTTGTGTGTGTTAAATATAAAAAGTATACCTGATGTTGAGGTGGAAACTGTTGTGGAAGTAGTGCTAGCTGCTGTAGCTGCTGTTGATAATGGGGTGAAAAGAAAGCGCTGAATGGTACCATTTGGCATAGCGGCTTGCATCAGTTGCTGACCTGGACCTGGGATTACTGTCACACCTTGTGGAATCAACTGCAACTGTCCAGTTGTTTGACCCTGTCCCTGAATTACTACAGTTAATCCCTGACTGCCACCCTAAGAAGAGAGACAAAAAAATAAATAAAGCAAAAGTTATTAATATCAGTAAAAGATCCAGGTCTGCATTATGTTCTGAACTGCAAACCAGTGAGGGTTAGTACGGACATTGCAATCTGTACTGTCTATAATATATATGTTTTCTAAAAGGATAAAATTTCCCGAAAAGAAAAATAAATTTTCATGGCATTAATCCATGAAAATTTAAAATAGAAAAGTTTGATAATCTGATGTGAATCTCTCAACATTGCACAACTTGCATTTTAAGCACCCAAATATACTGAAGACTATGCATATATATGCAAAGAGCAGAGAATTAAAACTACAGAAGATGAAAAATATATCTGAAAGGAAGATAAAATTTGCAAGCACTTTTGCAGTTTCCCTATGTAATACAATTTAGCATTTGAAAGGAGCTACAGTTTTTTTCTGAATACAGTATGTTGGTTCCAACAGCAGGGCAACTAGAGCTCCTCAAACCCCATTTTGCAGCTCCTGGAGACCCTGGGACTGGGTTGCTGAAATTCAGTGGTACCTCACTGAACACTGAGTTCTCTCTGCCTGAGGCAGTCCTTGATAAAGGCGTATTTTTGGGGTGCTCATTGTGATCTTTTGCTCATTATATGACTCCCCTTATCCCAAATCATGATTGCTTACCTGTCCTTGTGTGAGCTGCGTGAGCTGCGCCATGGTAAGCTTCACCTGTCCCTGTTGAGGCCGAGGAGGATGTGGCGGAGTGGCTTGTGACTGCATGTGCTGTGAAGGTATTCCTGGAGTTGTTGCCACCTTCTGACTGGTAGAAACTGTAGTAGGACTAGACACTGCTGTTGACACAGGCTGACCTCTGATGATCTGTGTGACCACTTGTTGTGTTTGGCCTGTATTGACATATCACAGGATTGTACAATCCTTTGGCCAAGAACTCTTATTAAAAAAATTAACCCACCCAGTCATCAAAAAACTGTATTTTTTCTTCTCAAATAGCAAGATCCATTAACCAGAAAAACCAACAATACACTGTTTAGCAGAATCAGAGCTGGTTTCTTCAAAGGACTGAATATAGTTTATATTGTTACACAGTAAATAGTATTCTGATGCATTAACATACTGAATGCAATTGTTTATAGGACAGAATGTACAGAAATGTTCAATTTATTCTGACACTCCAAGGGGACTTTGGAATTGTGTATCTCAAACACACCTTCCAATGCTACATGGCAAATGCTTTTGAAACAGTAGAGATTTTTAACAACCTTTTGTGATTGATGTTAACTATTCAAAAAGAAACAAAGATTGTACTAGCATGAGTCCTTTGCCTGAGCAGCACTTTTGATCCCAGCTAAAGTATTTATCATATATTTGATTCAAACAGAAAAAAAGGAACTATGTTTTGCAAAATGCAACATGCCATTTAATTTTTAGTACTGTTAAAAGTGACTGAATCTAAAGCTATTAAATGTTATCAATGATTTAAATACAAACCCTTCAACCTGGACACGTTTGAATAAGTGTGAACGATACAGAACAAAATTCAAAATGGAGAAACAAACCACAACCTGCCTACACTGGAAATCATTAAAAAGAAAATTAACTTACTGGTTGGAATAACACCCTGCTGTACTACTACAGGTGTTCGGATGATGGTCTTTCCTAGAGCTGACTGCTGAAGAGGTGCTCTTATGACCGTCATTCCAGGCCGAAGAGGTGTTCCAGGCATTACCTATACAAAATTCAAACAAACTGTTCAACTTTTTCTTATACTGCAAAGAACAGCAGATATGCAAAAAAGTAACTTATATACAGATTAAAGGTTGTCTAAAGATACTAAACAAAGCTTTGAAGATAAAACACTCTTCACAAAAGCCATAAGAAAGCTTTTTGAAAAGCAAACTGCATTTTTTTTCTATTTAAGCCACTGTTCTTTTGTTCATCCCCCTAACATTTTTTTTCATATAACTTTATTCAACAGTAGCAGTAGCAGCATCTCCCCTGAAAACCTGAGTCATTTTTTGGTAAAAGAAACACAACTAACATATTCTCAGACATTTCGTATCTGAGTAGAGCAATGGATATAGGTTATTTTGACACAGTGATATCTGAACCATATAACAACCAGAATTGCCAGTCAGTATGGCCCTTGTTCAACTGAAGAGTATTCACCAGGTTGCCTTATAGACCTATTGCTTTACATATGCACATATTTAACAGAAAATTAATCCAGTTTAACTAGCCTACCACAGAAGTACAGTTTCTGGTCCTGAAATATCAAGAAAATGTAGTGATGGTGTTGTCCTTAGCAATAGTGTACTTCACAAATGCAACATTCTTAACACATATGAGAGCAAGTATAGTATACTGGGTAAAATGTAGCATCAGGGAGTCCCTCATTCAAAGCTCCATTCTGTCCTGTAAGCTCACTGGATGACTTGGAGCCCAAAACTATCTCTCAGCCCAATCTATCATACAACGTAGACATACCATGTAGGTCACCATGAGCTCCCAGAAGACAGGATTTCAATGCATTACAGTAATAATTAAAAAATAAAAATTGGAATCATCCTAAAGTCACCCAAATAAGTCCTGTATTATCCTAATAAAAGAGTTAAACTTACTTGTGAAGCACTTGTCGTACATACAGTCCCTGTATTATTTGGCCTAATAGTTACAGTTGCTGTCCTTGGCTGGAATGAAGTAAATGTTTGTTGGTTTGCTCCAGTTGTTGATGGAATGATGCCCAACACTTTTTGTTGCACCTGAACTACGCCTATTGGGAGAGCAATGTATTTATTTAAAAGCACTGCCAAGTCAAAAGATAACACACTCATTCTTTAGAATGTTACAGTGGTGGATTTTTAAAAGATTCAAATTTTTTAAAAATTCGCATAAGAATCTTGACAAATGACATGGATTAGACTTGGGAACTAAATAATATTTTGGCTGAACAAATCTATTCTGCATTCATAATGCTGGGGCTCTGAACAGTGAAGACAAGCATTTAACTCAAAAATAGTGGACAATAACTAAACTTGATTTCATTTTATTTATGCCTAAAGATAGTAAAAATTAAATATAGTGAATATGATTATTCTCCAGTAATATATTTAATAACAAACCCCTTCCTCCATCAGATTAAAAATTACAACCTGGGCCCTAAGTCTGCTACTAGCTTCCTTTAGCATGGATAACCTGTATATTGACACTGATTTTAAACACTATGTGTCTCACTTCAGACTCTGAAAGACAATTGCATAGAGATTTATGGATACCAGTGTGAACAAATGCCAATCAGAGAAATTAAAACAGAGAAATTATAAACAAATCCCAAGTAATCTTCTCTAAAAAAAGATCATAGACGATTTACTAGGAAACCCCGAATAAAAAAGAATTCAACTTTTCATGACATTTTCCTACCTCCTTGAGTAGCTGGAACATTAACAGCAACTATTTTGCTATTTGCAGGAAGAGGCAGCTTTGTAATCACTTTGCCCGCCATGGTTACTGGACTGCTGGCAATCTGGAAAGTCTGACCACTGCTAGAAATGGTGGTTGCTGATGTAGCAGCTGTGCTTGTGGCTAATAAACCAGAAATGGGGGCAAAACAAAACAAAACAAAATCCAATGTAGATGTACATATTTCTTTGACAATCAGCTAACATCAATCAATCAATCAATCAATCAATCAATCAATCACAGTAACAACATTTGTATTTCACTTTTTTGTCTAGACTATAACATCATTATATAGAGTGGCTGTATTTACTTGGGCTTTTAAATACACAGTCCTCATTAAAGAAAGGCTAAAGAATCTTTTTTATTTAGAGTTGGAGGGCAAAACCGAGTTTTATAAAACTATGAATGTGGTAATGCATACAAACATTTTAAATATTTATTATAACATTTAAATTCATCCAGTAAACCTTTAAACTAATTTAAATACAAATTCTTCATGGGGGGGGGAGTTGTTGGAACAAAAAGCTCCTCACTCATGTCCCGACTGTTCTATAAGCTAACAGTCAGGTGAAGCTTACAAGTATGCAAAAGAAGATAGCTTTCCCCCCAAATAATTTTCCCTATGAACGGAGGAAGGGTCATCCTATATTTTTTTAGAATATGGTAACAGAGGAAGGTGTTACTGAAAGTAAGCAACTGTGCAGGAGGAGCAAATAATGAAAGCAAGTACATAAGGCAGGAGAGAAGATGAAACTGTCACCTTACTTCACAGGGAATGAGACAAGCGCCCCATCCCCACCCTCCTTTTGTTGTCTGCCATATGCAGAGGATGAATCTGCAAGGTGGAGCCTCTCTATCCATGGAGACACTCCCTCTGTGAACGTGGACTCAGGAAAAGCATGCTCCTCAACCAGTGGACAGAATCTCCATTACAGACCCTCACCCTCCACACATGGAGGAAAGGGAGAATGAGATGCCTTGCAACAGGAGCCACTGAAGTCTGTGGGGCTTACAACAGAATCCGCATGCACAACTTCCCTTGCGTTTTGCTGCTCATCACAAAGGATCCATTTCATTGTTGCAAAAAGAAGGGGGGAAAACCTCATTATCCCAAGGATTGTTTCCACAGTTTCTATCCCAAGTAAGGTGACAGAAGCTGGGCTGAACAGATATACCCTCAGCGTTCCTATGCACAAGTAAGAGGTATTAAACCCAATGAGAAAGTAAGCACTCATAGCTGTATGTTTGCTGAGCCCAGAATTCTACAAAGAATCTCCTTCCCTGTAGGGGTGTGTATGTGTGAAAGTAGTTTGCGCACGGGAGAATGTATCTGTGTATATGAAAACAGAGGGTTACATTATTGTACAGGCAATTAATTTAAAGCAATAGATGATAATTTTGTTAATTTTTCCTGGACCCATGCTTTTTTGCCGTATGGCCTCTGGGTGGCCATACATAACATAATATTTGCATAAGATGGGTCACAAGCACATATTTGCTGAGGTTGGTTTTATTGGAAGTTGACAACATTATCTGACAAGATAAGGAAGTTGGAAGTTTAACAGGATTTTGCTGTGTATGTAAATTTTCCCTCTCTAATCTATCTATATGGGAAAAGATCATACTAAATTTACAGTCTGCTTATTTGGAATAAACATGATGCTGCTTCTTATAAAGTCAAAGCAATAGCATCTACATACAAAAAGGGGAGAATTTCTAAAACAGCCCGAAGAACACTGAACACTTATAGTCACCATGGAATGTGTTACATCTGTTTTAAGAGAAACAAAAAAATAAACAGAAGGTGGATCAGTGGGATGTTCTGGACAGAAGAGTTCCACAGTTCTGTTCAATGGGGGAATACACATATGTTCTACACATAAGAAAAGGTATTAGGAATGGGCATTCCACTACCGCCTTCCTCCTCTCAAGTGCCCTCTATATTTGGGAGGTTGGGAAACATGACAGAGAGAGACTAAGCCAATTGATCTGCATTTCTCCTACCTGTGTGAGAAAAGCTTGCAAAAGTTTGAATAGGGATAAAAGTTGTGCAGATCTCTTTTTTAAAGGGCTATTAACCAGGATACTTACTTGGCATCTAAAATCCTGGTGACAGTGTATACTTTTAAGTACCAGAAACTGGAGGACCCTTCTGTTTATCCTCACTGGTCCCTGCTTTGACTTTCCTAGAGATACAATGCTATATCACAAGGTGACAAATCACTTGGCTACATGGGCCTCAGCTTGACCCAACAAGGCAATTTTTAGGCTCTTGTAAACAGTATACAAACACATCATACTGACAAAATGCACTGCTAGCATACACAATTACGGAATCTGTTTTCTGAAGAACACTCCAATTAGGCTTAAGTATTCCAGGACACAGCCTGCACCAATCACATGATCACCTTCAGGACAGATAGCACAAAGGTTCTGCTTTTCAGCTGACATCTCCAGGAGAAGCTGTGTACAAGGACATGCACAAGGAGCTTTCTGAGCCACATTGTTCAAATGACAGCAATGACAGATTATGCAAACAACAACTCTCTTAGCTGCAACCTCCTCAGCAGCTACCTGTAACCCTAAAGACCATAGCTAGTGTTCCCCAGTATATGAGTGGACTCCAATATTATAAATAAAAAGCTGTTTTTAAAGTTCCAAGTTAAAACACCCATAGAGAGTATATTTTAACTAACTTGTTTACCTGTTGAAGGCTGGCCTTGTTTAACCCAGGTAGCAAAAGTCTGATGGAAATTCTTGTTCTGCTGGAATGTTACTGTAGCTGGAGATCCCACCTTGGTGGCAAGCACTACTTTGGCTCCGCTGGGCATGGAGCGTGGTAATGGGCCCACTACAACTTTCTGAGGAGTGGAAACTGTGGTCACAGTACTGTTAGTTGTAGTAGCTGTAGTGGCTCCACACACAACAGGCACCTGCTTCTGTTGTTCCAGTCGCTTCTAAGAGAGTTAAACATCATGATATCACAAAGAACAGCTTCCATTCATCTGCACAACTGTACCATCATTCTCATCACAGAATACAAGGGTGGGCAACGTTTGTAATCAAGAGATGCACCTGGGGGAGGGGGAAGCGAGGTCATATCACTCGTATGGGCAAAATGGGGGGTGTTTTTGTTTCTAACTGTGGTTTGGTGATTTTAAGGTTTACTTCTGTAGTTTTCATCTGTTTTTATCACGTCAAAATATCAGGAAACTGTACCATCAAGCTTTCAGCAATCATACCAAGATGGTCCCAAGAATCAGAAAAGGCAGACTTAAGATCTGGACTAGAAGTTGCCCATCCCTGACACAGTCCATGTATATTAAGGCTAAATTTCATGCACATTTTTTGGAACCAAGCACTATTAAATACAACTGGACAACTATGTAAATATGCAAATACAACTATGTAAATGTGCAGAAGATAAGCCTACTTACATGACCCTTCAGGATATCCCAGTAATTTGAGATAAAGTATTTTTTTTTTAAAGAAATAGGCCAACTGTAATGGATACAGCCATTACAAGTTGCAAAAGTCTAAGCATTAGAACAGAGAAGCTATTATCCACCGAAGCCCTGACCATATGAAAGTTATAAAATAGCAGCTAAGAAACTGAACTACAAAGAATATCCCTAGAGCCCCTTGTTTGCTATAAGCTTAATTGGTAGCATTTCTCTAACTTGGCAGTTTGAAACTCGCATTTTTGTAGCACTGCTGAAAAGTGCTTTGGGATGGTATTCATGAAAAGCAATAAATATTTCCATTAGTTAGTTAATTTTGGCCTGCCTGAGATCATAGAATGCATACGTGTGCTTTCTGTCAAAGGGTCTCCAAACCTTGAAAGCAAATTTTCAGCAGCAGTCAAGGTTGTTAGGGTTGGGAAGCCCTGGCCAGTATTTCAGAAGTTCTTCCTACAATCCCTGCCTCTCTTCCTCTTGTGTACAGTTCCCCCACTTACCACTTGCCAAGAAGGAGCACTAGCACCGATTTAGTAGCTTTCTAGGGAAGAGTGGATGAGGAAAGACAGGACCTCTATTGACTCTGAAGGGTCCTCTTTTGCATGGACTGCAAGTATCCCGCTCTAGTGGCACCTTTTACTTGAGAGGGGAGAATTCCTCCACAGAACATCCAATTCACCAGATTCCACAATATGGTGGCTCTGGATCCAAACCATTGTATATGCAGTGTTTGGAACACTCTATGAAGTCTTTATTATGAATGTGAAAGTAAAATATTTAAGCATTGAATTGGAAGTGCTTTTGTTTTAAATGCTGGAGTCAGATTCTTTAAAAAAACCCTTGTTTGATACTACTTTTTTTCAACACAACAGAGCCTACAGTTATTATGTAAGATTTCAAACAGGTAATATTATTTTATTGTATACTACAGGCACTTTGGATAAAGCTGCAGCTTTAGGTAGCTGAGATGACAGAGGTCTGGTCTTATAAGGTTATCAGTTTGAACCTATGAATCCTGAAGAAGTTGACACAATTCTCTGTGCTGTTAGTCACTTGGGGACTGGACCCTTCCACTACCTGGCTAGAGAAAACTGCCACAGAGATTACAGAAGGATGGGTTTGTAAATGGTGATCACATCCACGAGGGAAAGGCATTCCCCTCCCACTGTAAAAGACATGGCACACTCCCTCCTAAAGAAGCCATCACTTGACCCAACTGTTTCAGACAACTGTTGTTCTGGCTCCAATCTTTAGGGAACATTGCTAAGAATCTGCAATTAGCTAAAGAGACTCCTGAAATGAAATGGGTTATCTGAATCTCTCTGTCAGGATTCAGGCCCAGGTATTGAACAGAAACAGCACAGCTTGCCTCACCAGTCAGTATGAGATGAGGTTTCATCAATAAGCAGACAATAGCCCATTATGCATCTCTACCCCTGGCTGGACAAGAGATGTAGCAAAATTCCTGACCTGGTGCCTACTAGGAACTGGACAGGAAAAAATAGGTTCAGACTCAACCTTAGGAAGATGTAGTGGCTGTGTATTAGAAAGCTAACAATCCAGGAACAATCTAGCACCACTTTTGGATGGAGGTTGTGCTGCCCCAGAGAGAGCTGACTTGGGAGTCCGAGGAACCTTCCTAGACTCACACCTCCTACTTCAACAGCAGGTAAAGACAATAGCCAGGACTTTTGAACAATTATAGTTGATGCATCAACTGCAGCCATTCTTGAACCAGGAAGCATAGTGCACATTCAGTCCTGACCTTGTCATCATGTACCTGGATTACTGCAATGATTTCTACAAAGGGCTGCCCATGAAGACCATCTGGAAACTCAGGGCCTTGATATCTTTGAAACTGCCAGCTCCAGATTAACTCTGTCCATCCAGGAAGAGCTGGGAGAGAAGGCTTCTAAGGGTGTCTTTTACAAGGAAATGCCATCTACAGGGACCCTGCAGTTGAGATTTTTCAGTGTCCCTTGTTTGGAACAACTTGCTCCTGATATCAGGACAACCCCCTCCCTTTTGGATTTCTGAAGAGATCTGAAAACACAGCTTCTCGGGAAAACATCTGGGGACAATGAGAATTTCTTTTCCTTGGATGGTGCGCTCAAGGGAGGTTTATTGTTTGAGGCAACAGCTGGCACAAATCTGAACACTTTATCTTTCTTTTAATATTTTTAATGTAATATAATAATCATTGATCAAGCTGACTTACTAATGTATTATTTAGATTATTATGATTTTGTCTTAATGTTGTTGTTGCTTGATGTAAGCCACTGAGAGCAATTGGGAATTAAATGGCATACAAATCATAGCAAGCAAGCAAATAAATACATTTCACAACACTTTATAGATCAATTTTGTAAATAAATGTAAAGAGTTCTGAAAATCTGGTGTAATTTTTCTGTGTTTATATGCATGCAAGAATATCTATACTCCCCTAATATTGAGTAGTTTCTGACACCTTAAATCTTTTATTGTATTAATAAGAATAGATGGTTGTATTTGTGTTGCTATACAGGTAGTCCTTGACCTATGGCCATTCGTTCAGTGACCATTCAAAGTTACAACGGCACTGAACAAAGGAACTTAGACTGGTCCCCAGAGTTATGGCTGTTGCAACACCCCAGCAGTCACGTGATCAAAATTCAGGTGCATAGCAGCCCACCCACACTTACAATCGCAAGAGCACTTCAACTCCCCCCACCCATCTCCCCACCATCTATGCCCTTTTGGCCCCCTCCACTCCGCAGCCCCTGCCACCACAGCTGACCTTCACTGTCTTCTTGCTCCCACTGCTGACTAAGCATGCCTGGCCTGGCTCTTCATGAGGCAGCTGCTGGCCAAACAAGACTTTCTTCCCCAGGTTGCATATGGTGGTTTCCTCATGAGACCTGAGGAAGATGGCCTCACTTGGCCAGCAGCTGCCTCATGAAGAGCCAGGCCAGCAGCAGGCGCAAGAAGATGGCAAAGGTCAGCTGGGGTGGCAGAGTGCAGGGCAGCAAGGGCTTTGGAGTATAGACCAGCAAGGATAGCTGGGATTCCTGGGGCAGCTGCTTTGCGCTGCGCTGCTGGGACTTCCTGGGGTAGCAGTGGGAGCCAGGAAGCCCATTTGTGCCATGCTGCGGGGCTGGGCCAGGTTGGGCTTCGTGCGGCACAGAGGAGCTTCCTGGTGTGCTGTGGCTCTGTGGCTTTTTACTTTTTGTTGGGGCTGGGCTCCACATGGCACAAAGGGGCTTCCTGGCATACTGCGGCTCTGGGGCTTTTTGCTGGGGCTGGGCTCTGTGTGGTGAAAGGGACTTCCTAGCATGCCATGGATCTGGGGCTTTTTATTTTTTGCTGGGGCTGGGCTCTGCATGGCGCAAAGGGGCTTCCTGGCGTGCTGTGGCTCTGGGAATTTTTGCTGGGGCCGAGCTCCGTGTGGCACAAAGGGGCTTCCTGGTGTGCTGTGGCTCTGGGGCTTTTTACTTTTTGCTGGGGCTCGGCTCCACATGGCACAAAGGGGCTTCCTGGCGTGCTGCAGCTCTGGGGCTTTTTGCTTTTGCAAAAAGTTTGCAGCCTCAGAGCCACGGTGTGCCAAGAAGCCCGTGAGCCACAGCGTATTCTTTCCCTGACAAATGCACTGCAGGACCCCCTCCCCCAACTCATGCACAGCCTGGGCCAGCCCTCCCCCACCCCTCCACAGCACCACCATGCTCCTTACCTGGGACTCCTGCGTCTTCCCGCTTAACGACCTGCATGTCTTGGGGTTACAACAGCACCTGGGACTGCCTGGATTACCGTTGCTAAGCAATGCGATCACATGATATTGCACTTTATGACCACATTGCTAAGCAACAGAAATTCCAGTCCCAATTGTGGTCGCAAGTTGAGGACTACCTGTACTGTAATATATAACTAAAAAGTTGGTATGGAATAGCATTTCTGCTAGAGAAGTAAGGACTGAACACTTTTCTAAGTGTTTAAAATAAAGAGAACTGTTTTATGAAATATCATACTTGTCAATAAAGCATATGAAAAGAAGGGGTTCTGGTTAGTCTTTCTCTGATTCTTTTTCTCATTTTGCTTTTGCTATTATTGCTTGTTTTGTTCATGAATACCAAACCCAGCAACATATGTTTGGTTTTATTTTATATTAATACATAAGCTGACTTGAGTGAGCATTTTGCTTGGAAAAGCAGATGGAAATAACATAAAGAATCAATGACAGGTAAAAGGTAAAGCAACTGTTAAAAAGAAATTTAGGAAAATTACAGAGTTAACTACTAGACATATGTCATCCTTGTGTGCATGTCTCATTCACAGCAGATTAATTCTATATCAATGGGTATATAAATATTTCTAACTAAGAATTCCATTTCCATTCCAACATGGAAGTGTTTCTGATTGTGTACTTGGTAGAATGCCAAAAATTACATTCACTAGATATCCTGTCAACATCTACCTTAATAGCTTTGCAACAGAAATTTGAAGAGGCATACAACCCTGAGGAAAAGCCACCGCATTCCACATGATGTGTAATGTAAGTAGCACAATAAATGACAAAAATCTGATATACCAATTTTAGATTTCCACTAGGGATTTTCATATTTTTACTCATATGAAAATGTTTAAGGAAGACACACTTCCATGCTAATTTGCTAATTGTACACAAATGCAAACAATTTAAACTTTAACAGGTGGGACTTCTAAAAGGCTACCCCACCTGCTGGGCAGCCAATCGTTGTTGTTTGAGTTGAGCCTCCATTTGAGCCTTGAATTCCTCTGCCTTCTTCTGTTCACTAACCTTAGCCTGTTGTTCAACTGCCTGTGCCTTTTCCTTCTCCACCCTGCAAAAGAGAGGTATAGAAAATTAATACTGGCCACTATAAAGGAATTACAACATTTTTATACGAAGGGAACTGGTTTCCAGGTTATTAGTAAGCTGCATCTAAGTTCCTGAAATTTTCCAATGTCAATATGCTCTACTTCATAAATAATTCTTCCTTTTGAAATATTTTATGAGTTCTTAGACCTGGTCCTCTGCAAGACTAGAGGAAACTGGGATCTAATGAACACTTCCTGCTGGGAAAAAAAACAGAACGTCTGTCTCATTACATTTTCCCTATGCAGAATCCAATCCCTCTTCCTATGTGATTCCAGTGAGAAGAGAATTGGAGAATTCCATTCATATCCTTTGGCACCAACTGCTGACCACCTCTGAATTTAATTCAAGAAATTTCAGATCTCTGATTTGCCTGCTGCTTAAACCAAGCATTGGCTGAACTATTTTAATGTCTAGATGAAACAATTTGACAACAAACCTTCTATGGATGATATACCTTTAGTGAGTGAAGTAGGGGGTCAAAGCAGCTGACTTAAAAACTTAAAGAAGAACCTAAAAAGCTCTGAAGAAAGGTGTCCAAAGTAGTCAATTGAGTGAGTCAGAGGAAAGCAGCTGAGCATTCTTCAGAGGCTTAAAGTACCAATTCTGATTAGCACCAGCTGATATTGTTATTATGGTAGGACTTACGGAACTCACAGTACAACAAATTTAGAAGGCACAAATTTGATTGCCTTGTGCTAGAATAAGCACAGCAACTCCTAAAGGAAGCACAAAGTGGAGAAGGAAATGGAGACAGAGAAAGCCATAGGATATAAAAACACAAAATGCTATCATCATGATGAGATAAATGGAAAGGGTAAAGACACTGAAATTTGGAAAGTTTCTACTTTTCAAAGTTAGTATTTTCTTGAGTACAAAGAAGTAGAAAAGGAAACCTGGGGAAACTAAACAAGATTTTGGACCTGGGTAGAATTACCAGAAAGCTGGGTATGAAAGAAAGAAAACCCAATACGAAATCTAGGAAGATAATGGCTATACTAAAGAATTAAAGAAATGAAAAAATAGGAAACAAAAGGGATTGTAAAGTTTAATTAACTGGAATCAGTTTAACAGCCTCAACATCTATTTTTTTAGCATTACATTCACTGAAATGAAGAAACAATGGTATCAAGAAGTTTTTTTCTGTTTGTATTTCCTGCACTTACAGTTCTACGATTTTTCTGAGATTTCAGTTTGTTTGTTAAACCAATTAGCATAACTTGAATACACCTAAATATGTATCTCAGTAAAGCTAAAACAGATTTCAAATGTCAGTTTACCTTTCAGAAAACGCTTTTATCTCCCATAATTCCAATTCCTCCTCCGCTACCCAGGTTTCAATTATGACTGGTCCTGTTTGCTTTGGTGTTTCTGGCCTTTTAGGCCTCAATGCACTTGATCTAAGGCCTTTCCTCTGAGGGGTTGGAGTTTCTGACAAAAAAGCAACATCAATCAATGTTCAGTTAAATATCAGTATGAACACACATCATGTGTGTCTCTTTAAGTTATTTGTGCATTTTATACACATATTTACCTTTTGGGGCCTCTGGAACACCAATAGGGCAAATAATTTTCCGTATGCAGTACTCTGATCGAATCCCATATGGTCCAACATCTCTCCGTTTGATTATTTCTGTCGTCGTAATTTCCATTTCTGATGTTTCTACAAACATATTTCAACATTCATTCACTAACTTAAAAAGAACTTACCACAAATGTTAGCTGAAATTCTGGAGTTTCAGTTTAAAAACTGCACATATAGTTTGTCTTAGCATAAGTACAAAAAAACGAAAAACCCACTGGCACTTTGAATTTAACTTTTGTTATTAGTATAATTAAGAAAAGTTTTAAGCCATTGTGTAATATGTCAGGATACTCTTTAAAAATCTGTAACATGAAGCTTAAGTTACCGATTAAGTGAACCCCATAATGAAAGTGAAATGAAATACAGAAAAGTGACAGATATCACTGGATTTCATACTTGTATTTATTTGATGAAAATAGCTACATGTTTTGAACACAAGGCCTTTAAGATAATATACAGAATAACCATAATTTTAAACATTAAAAATAGAGTAACAGAATGGACAAAAAAGAAAAATCAACTACAATTTCTAACTATGAAACATTAAGATGAATGAGAAACAGAAATGTCTTTTCTATCAGCCAGAAAACAAGTAACGGATTGACTAATTCAGAAGAGTGCCTTCTGTAGCCCTTGATCTAACTTCAAAAACCTTCTGTAGAGCGAATATGTGTCAAAAAGAATCTATAATATCCTGCTGCATTTGGAGGCAAGAAAATATCAGCACAGAAATAGAGAAGAAAGGGAAATGCCTTTTACATTGTCATGTCCAAACAACATTCTGATCTTCCACCTCCTTGATTTCAACTGAAAGAGATGGTAAAGTTCAGTGACAATGATCAAGACTCAATCCCAAACTCCATGATATTCTCACTCAATATCTTCTTGAAGATGTTAAGAAGTACATATTTACCAGTTAAATGAGTAATACATTAAAAATAAATCCACATTAAGCAGCATTCTCTTACTAGCAGTCTATAGATGTGAAGGCTTACACTGGTTTTTAAAAAATCTATTTTGAGGATTGATTTTTAAATTGACATCTGTCTTGCATATTCTGAAACTCTGGAATATAACAAAGATGCTTACAATATTTCTGACCATAACAGAAAGTTATCATTCATTTCCCCCGCCCCCAGAATTATGGTCTAATATAAGCAGGAGAGAGGAAATTAGATAGATAGATAGATAGATAGATAGATAGATAGATAGATAGATAGATAGATAGATAGATTCATTCATTCATTCATTCATTCATTCATTCATTCATTCATTCATTCAATATGCCCCTGCCCATCTCAAACATATGACTCTGGGGAGCTGACAGAGAATAAAAAAAAAGTTAAAAACCATAGAAAACAATATATAAGAAACATAGCAGCAAAGATAAAACCAACAACACAGTCAACATGACCAAGATACTGGCTCAACCACGTACTCTGGGCCCCAGACTTGGCAACAAAACCAGGTCTTTATGGCCTTACAAAAACCAATAGGGTCAGGCAAGTCTAAGGGAATGATGTTATGCTGAACTCCCAATGCTAAAGGAACAAAAGACTTATAAAAAAATTAGCCTGACAGCTAAAATTAAAGTTAAAAGTTATATCGGATTCAGATATAAAGGTCCAATAAGCAATGCTTTATGGAAATGAATATGAACAACTTGGCTATTCTTCCTTCTTGTGTGCACAGCAACAAAAACAGCTCCCAGGTCTGTTAAACCAGTGTTCTCATAATATCCCAACTGGTGAACTCCAGCTTAAGGGTTCTCTATAAAGCAGAAACACAAACCAATTTGCAGTTCTAGTTTATAGGAAGTGCTTTAATCAGTTCCCCAATTCAGATGTCACAGAAAAGCCATGGTTACATGAACTATAGTGTCTTTTATGCAGCAACGCACAAATAGAAAATAAATGCTTGAGTTTGTTTCTTATACCAGGGAATGTTTTTCTCTGAAACCAGTGTCAGCATGCTTTAAATTTTCTGTTGAACTAACAGAATCCAGACACTGTGCAATATTAGACAGTGAAGCTGTCAGCTTTTCTGGGTATCATCTTTTTTAATAAATATCTTCCTACTTAAACAACAACAAAATTCAGTTTTTTTGCTGTGTAAAATTCATTTAGTCTGTGCTTAATAGTGTGACCACGGTTTACTGTTAAATCATGGACTGAAATGAGTTTCAGTTTCATTCATATTCATCCAAGGCATATCATATATTGAGTAGGAAGAAAAAGCATAATAAAAATTGAGTAACAAAAACAAAACAAAACAGAATTTCTTAAAAATAATTGAATTCAGAGTTCTAGTTCCCATACCATATTACATATTTTGCAAGAACGTTTAATTATCCATATTTCTGAAAGTTAACCCTACCTGTGCGTGTAGTTCCTCCTCCTGGTGGGGGTTTGGCAGCCATGTCATCCCACTTTAGGCATGCCCAGAGTAACCTCAACATGAGGCTAACCCCTGCCAAAGATTTTACAGTCTGAAGTCGGTACCTGGAAAAACACAAAAAGGAAATCATAGGCTGCCCACCTTCAATATCCTAAAGGAAACAGCCTAAATGCCATAGATCTCCTAAGGTAAAGTTCATGTTTTTCTTTCAGTCTTAGTTAAGAATGGGGTGTATTTTCATGTACACACACACACATACCACTAGCAGTGATTATACAGACCTATGCTATCACATGTTGAATTCTGCTCATTTAAATGCCAAGTTACAGAATATTTTTAGAATGGCAGGTCAACTAGGTATAGTTTTAGTGTCTTAATTATCCACTGAAACCAAATAATAAGGTGTTAAGTGTTCTTGTGATAGCTCTGATAACCCAACCAAAGAAGGTAAGTTATGAAAAAACACTATTCTGTAATGGCAATTTGAACATTATTTTCTATGAGTTCAAGTTTCTAGTATTGGTAAGCTCTAAATAATACTAGTGGCATATATTAGAATGTGAACCATGATTATTTTGAAAACTCTTAAGTCCTTGGTTACTGTTAAAATGAGGTTTATCCAGCAGAATCCTGTTTAATAACATAAAGGCAAACTTACTATATAAAGCCTTTTGCCTAGCCTAACAAATCTGTAGCCCTCCTGAAGTTGCTATCATTCCATGTATTCCAGCCACAGGACCAATTATGAAAGGAACGGGAATAAGTCCAAGCTCAGAATTGGAGACCAGAGTTTTCCACCCAACCTTGTGGATAATCTTAAAATATAAATTTTTGTAGTGTTCAGTTCTTTAGGCTGCATTCATTCTAAGAGGCTCAAGTTAAAAAGGATGTGATAAGGTTCCAGGATATTTCTAGTTTCTATTTTTTGGTCTCAGTGGGCACTTACTCAGCATATTTAATCCTTACAGTGGATACACTCTGCAGTGTCTCCTGCTTCTTCATCACTCCACACATCAGAGGCAGAAAAGTGCCAAATGTGCATTAGGTGCAGGGTGCCCTATACTGCTCCCATACCCTGATTGAGTAGCAGTTGAGAAACCTTTCTTTCTGAATACACATACAAGGAATATTATTCTCCTGTTAAATACAGATTCAGTGTCTAAGGGACAAAATAATAAGCAATTAAGATTTTAAAGTGATGACAATTAAAGTGCTGGATTATAATATATTTACAATGTATGCACAATAAAAACTTCTCCCACTCAATGTTATTATTTTATAACATTGTTATAACATTGTACCTCCAAGTGATACCAAAAGTTGGTCTTGGGGATGGATATGGCCAGATGTCCAAAGCAGGCTTAGCGGTATAGTTGAAACAGGGTACTTCTCTAATCCCTCCTTTTCTTGCCAGCTTCTTCAAATCATCACTGGGTAAAACAAATATGCTCTTTTTACTGCTTTTAGTAATAAACTTTCTGTAAGACGGCAATGCTGTTCCAGACCGAGTCTTTTTAGGTCTTGAAAATTTCATTAGTTTCACTTTGTCCCTTGTGGAATATTCCTTGCTGACTGTCATAGAAGTCACCAATGTTCCACCTGGTGTTGTCAAAGAATCAGTCACTGTTGTTGTAACCACAGTTTTACTATGCTCTTTTACAGAAATAACATCTGTACTGCTGTCTGCTATGGGAGTGGTAAGCTTTGTTACAGTGGTTGTGGTTGTAGTAGTTACAGTGGATATGGAACAGTTTTCAGTAGATGACACCACACTTTCTTTATCCTCCTTGATTGCTGATAGCTCTGACATTTTATAAATAGTTTTTGATTCTGTAGAAATAGTAGATGTGGTGGTCACTTCTGTCACAACAGCTTTTACTGCATTTTCTCCATTGATGTTTTTAACTCTATGTGTCTGCAGTCCATTCTGATCAGCAAAGTCATTACTCAAACTAGATTCTTCACATGAAATTACAGGTGAGAGGGCAGCTTTCTTAACACATGATGATTCAATTTCCATGCATTCTGTTTCACTACATATACTGTTCTCATTACAGGAATGGAAGGCTGGGATGGGTGCATCATCAACTGGACTAGACCTTTCAGAAGAATACTGCTTCCTTCCAGTGTCTTGAGCAGACTGAGATGTCCTGTCTTGAGGTAAAACACCATCTCGAGAATCACAGTCTGGACCCACAGAACTCTGTACAGAACACTCATTGTCTGAATTTCTTCTCTCATCCACATGTTCTGCAGCAATATCTCCATTCATAAATGGTTTTACAGATTCATTAGAGGGAAATGATTTACCCAGCAGATTGCTCTTATTAATATTATTGATTTTAGAGTCAATATTACTCTCGGCTTCTTCAATTACTTCTTTTAAGCATCCTTCATTTGGTAATACTTTGAAATCAGCATCTTTTCCATTAATCTGAAATGCTGCTGACTTTCCTCTTTCCATCTGGACATCATGTTCTCCATTTTTATTATTATTTTTATCAGCAATGCTTTTAATTTGATCAAAGCACTTGCTTATGGAAGTTGGAGGATCACACTTCGCCTGACCTAGCTTTTCACCATTTGTTTCTGTAATTTTAGAGTGTGTAATTTCATCAAGAATATTTTCTCCTATCACGTCAGGAATCTGGGCTTCAAATGCTTTTTCTGAAATAAGCTCAGTACGCAATGATTTTAGGCCTTCAAGGGTTCGCTTGGGATTTAATACAATCTTTGGTTCAGATGCATCTTCATTGCTTTTCAGTAGACTCATATTTATGTTATTTGCTTGTAGAGATACTGCTGCATGATGATCCTCTAAATTACAAGCTTCTACAGAATCACAGCCCTGATTTTCAGTTTTTAATGTTTCACTCTCTTTCTTAATGAAAGATGCAGTGTCTTTTTCACAGCTGTGTTCAATTCCCACTGGCTGTATATTATGTTCACTCTTGGGCTCTGTGATCTTTGTTTCCTCTGAACTTTTTTCATTGTCCTCTAATGCACTGCATTTAGTTGATTCTTTATTGTCTGTTGCCTGAGAATGTTCCATGGTTGAATTATCATTCTCTTTACTCAAAACTTTATTTTTCTCTATATCCACTGGTTCAGAAACACTTTCATGAGCATTCATTGCTATCAAACATTGAGTATCTGAGCACTGATCTGAAATGAGATCTGATTCTTCTTCTAAAAGTCTATTCAAGCAAGACAAGGATTGGATTGATTCACTGGTTTTATTGAGGTGAAGATTGTTAGGTGACAAACTGTCTTTAACAGGATCTTCAGATTGATTTGTACCTGAAATATGGATTCTCTTTTGTGAAGTTAAATCTATCTGTTTTCCATCTTCTGTCTTAGCTAACAGTAGGCCATCTGTATTCCTTTGTGGACTTGGAGGTTTACAATCTGAGGAATTAGCACTAGCTTTAAGCTTAATTCTTTCCAATCGCTGCTTTTCCTCTAATGTAAACTGTTTTACTCTTCTTTCAAGTAGTCCATCTAATTTTGATGTTTTAACTTTCCTTTTGTAACATGTCCTTAAGTGAAAACCTTCACTAACATTTATTAAATCTGCACTGATTGGAGTTTCTTCATATTTTGTGGAAGCATCCATTTTCATTTCATCCACTTCCATAGGTTCTTCCTTGATGTCTTTATCATTTTCACATATTTCTTTTTCATCTATAAAGAATAATTTTTAATCAGTAGGACATTTTATCAATTAACATACATACTGGCAAACCTAAGTCAGAGCTCCCCAACAGGGCACCTTCCAATTATATAACTTACTCCCATCATTATGTATAGCATCAACAATAGGCATGCTAGGTGGAGAATTCTGGAAATCTGAGATCACCCATTTGGAGTGAGTTCAGATTGAAGAAGGCTAATCTAAGTTGTGATTGATTACATATTCTTTTGCAATAGTATATGCAGATATATGGAATTAATAAAGTACTTTGTTTCTACCACTGAATAATTATTTTCTCTAGACTGTTTTCAGGAAATGTTACACACATAAAATTTTGCTCAACCGATGAAAGTTTAAATGTTTATTTAAATGGATAAAGTGCTTATTACCTTCCTTTGCATGATCTGATTTTTCAAAATGTCTATCAATTTCAGCTTTTTCTTCATTTAATTCATTTTCTTCCTTGGTTTGACTTTTCTTTGTGGTCTCAGAATTTTCAGTTTCTTTTTGGTCCTTTTTATGTGGTTCACGGAAGTTCTTTATTCTATCTTTCAAAGAATAATGCTCTACTTTTACTTTTGATGGATTTTTCCTTTTATCCAATTCATGTTGTTTTTCTGTGATAGCAGCAGTATTGTTCTTTGCTGATAAAAAAATATGTATATATTCACATGATTTTTGTCATCTGTCAGTATAAGACTCTCATAGAAGCATACACTTTAAAAGGAATAACTTTTAAGAGTATTCAAGATTATTATTTATCACACCCTCCAAACCTATTACTGTATTCAGAAATAGGACTACTACAATTACAGTATAGCACCTTATTTTTTTCCTGAAATGCAATTTTCTTCAATAGAAATGTTACTGACCATTTCCCAACAGGATCTCAACAGATGTAATTCACCAAACCCGATTACCAAAAGCATTAAAAAACTATTACCTATAGATTTTTATCTCAATAAAATCAGATTGTTATTTCTGCATCAGTAGCAACAATTATAAAATGACATTTTTAACAAGCTATTTTGTTTGCAAAAGGGATTCTGATCTTGTAGAGGCTCCCACTAGGAGAAACAGAGGTGATTTTGTTCATTTTCCTTCTGCTGCAGTGCCCATTCTTTCCCCCCATTCCAAAGGCCCCCTAACCTTCCAGAACAGCTTTTCTGGTCGTATCAGGAATGGGGAAATCAATAAAAATGATCTTCCATCTATGGAAACATCCTATTTGTCAAAGTCTGCTCTGTACAGCTTTGAATCTATTAGCTTGGGGTTAGGGTACATTACCAAAATCACAAATTTTCTTTAATTATAAAATTTAATAAAGTTAAATAGGCCAGCTGGAGAAATTCAACACTAAACCCAATTCCAGTAGTATGCTTCTTTCATATTTAGAAAATTAAGATATTTATGTGAATAATCAGCAATATTTTACTGCAAACACCAGTATTTAATTGATAGCTACAGAGTATTTTACAGATATGTATTTTAAATTTTCTCCTAAAATGCTTGCTACAACTAGAAAGAAATTAAAATGATATTACAACGTTGCTTGAAAATACTGTGAAAACTGGTGTTTGATGTTCTAAACTTCACTTGCAAAAAATAATATTTCAAAATTCATAGCTATATTTTGTAAGCTGCCCAGAGTCTGCCGGAGTGGTCAGCTATAATAAATTTAATGAAATAATAAGGATAATGATGATTTCCAACACTTACCGAGTAGCAACTTTCTATAACTGACATTAGTATTTCCAGGTAATCTGGGCACAAATCTATGAACATGCGTTTTACTAATCCATATCCATCCGCCATATCCTGTTACTCTATATTCTTCTCCTTTTTGTTTCCAGACCTATGAAAGGGTTTAAGTATATAGTTTTTAAAAACTTTTATATGAATTTGCAGCATCACACACACATAAAATATGACTTTTAAAGAATGTTTGAATTTTATTTTATTTTTTTGCTAGAAGTTAACACTTTATCCATTCAAGTTCTAAACAATTTTAGTTTTGCAATTTATTTTTTACAATGAAAAGTGGCATAACATTTTAGAAATAATTGGTTAGGAGTGCACATGCCCTTAGAGCAAGCTGCCTCTGCCTAAAACAGAAATCCTTTTCATCAGAATGAAAAGGTGACAATGGGGGTTATTGTTCAGGTTTCTTGAGCATAGAAAATAGAGCTAGCTTTAGAAAAATTAATAAAACTGTCTTCTTCTACTTTATGAATTCGGCTTACACTCAAACTGGCACTTAAGAAAGTTTATCTAAGGTTTGTTGCAACATCTGAATACATATGCCTTGGTTAACAGCCGTTCTTCACTGCCAGAGGTTGCTATAACAGGAAGATAGGAGCAGACATATGACTTGAAAAAGGCAAACAAGTAATGCTAAACCCTGATTTCCCCTTTGTTTCCTTGGAAGTTCAAACAATGTTTAGGTTCTCAACTCTGATTAGCTCAAACCATAACTGGCAAGATATTTAAAACTGAACCTTTGTCTTCTCATTACTTCACTAAAAGGACTGACCAAGAATATCCTCTCCTGAATATTGTGACTGTTAGCACTGAATGCTGTTTCAGTGGTAACCATACATCCACTCTTCATTTAGTGACTACTTCGTTAATGACCATTCACAAATATGAAGGTAATAAACAATTCACGTTCCAACCAATGCATGCTTTTATGACCAAATTTCATGTGCCTGACAACAACGCATGCCGGAATAACACAGGCATAGTTACGTGAGAGAACTTTATCTGAATGAGAGGGCAGCAGCCAGTGGTCTCTCTCTCTTAGTCATATGCTCACTTAGTGACCATTTTGCTTAACGACAAAATCTCTGGAATGGAACGCTGCCGCTAAACAAAGAGTGCATTTAAAAAATATGATACTATATAAACTGCATCCAAGAAAGCAGTAAATAAAGTTTATCTATTAGTTATAAATAAATAAGTACAAAAACTCATTACAAAGAAATCGGAAGCAGTTTACAAATCTAGGTCTGGATTCAAGCTAGAATAAAAACTGGAATAAATACAACCCCTTAAAAGCAGTAACACCATATGGTAGGGAGAGTTAACAGCCAGTATAAAAATAGGGTTTTTAAAAGCATGTCAGCGGGTTGGGCCCTGGTATACCACAGAGGCTAACTGAAACCACCAAAGGCCTACTTTCAATTAAGAAGTGACAAATCACATACACACATGGACACTGGGCTTAAATAAGCAAATTTACAATTATACAAACCAAGGGAACTGCATAGAATATAGTATGTACCACCACACTACTGCTAGAAGTACTTCTGCTCAGGACTCCAGTCCACTTGGAAGAGAAACTGTGTGCAGGCCTCTTAGTGATAGTGAGTTGGGTACTTTTTCCACTCTTTTTCACTCCTCTGAAATCATACTTACTACAGAGTAGGAAAATGTGTGGCTCTTTGGATGTTTTTGAACTATACTGGCTGGGGTTGCTAAAATACAGCAGAATCTGGAGGATTCATGTATTGCTTACCCTTTCTCTGTAGGAGTTAAATTTGGGGATAGTGACCACCTCAGTTTAAGAATTTATTACTATAATTCCCAGCAATGACCATGCTGGCTGGGGAACTTCAGACATTGAAGTCCACACACATAACAGGCACCTCAGCTGGGTATATAAAATACTTTATCTAATGTTTTTATTCCTTTCCTTCCTCCAAAAACATCTTTGTATAATTCAGGATGACTTTTAACAGAATTAAAGTTATCATCCTTCTTAGAAACTCACAAGCACCTAATCAAGGTGTTTTTGGTCTCTTTCTTTTTCTGGGTTTCATTTTATAAACAGCTATCATTCTGCTGACATCTCTCTGAGAACAGAAAAGCCATTTTTATTTTTAGGTGACCTTATTTAATTTCCAAGTTAAACAAGTAGGTTCTGTTATAATAAGAATAACCACCTTATTTTTCACAAGATGCTACATGCTTTGGAATTCCAAATTAAAAATTGGTGGAAGCTAATTAGCCTCAACTAAATATACTAATTTATATTTGATAACTTCCCCAAAATTGGATATATACTACAAATACTAAAATATTATTCAATGATGGATTATGAATGTCACATTTAGGAATTATGGATCATCTTTAATATTTCCAAGCTGCATTTTATTATATAAAATTTATGTCCAAATATAAACAGAGATTAGAGTTTTTTTGGGATTTACTAATTAATTTAATAATACTATTTCAAGAAATTAATCTTGAATTTATTAGCTCAAGTTATTCACTACCAGTCTTCATCAGTTGATGTATGTTGGTCTAAATAACAACTTTTGCATTTTTAAGCAAAAAGAGGTTAATTAATTTGTATCTTCACCTAAGGTACCTTCCAGTTCTTCAGTAACGGTTCCACTGTCAATCTGCTCATACTCTTTAGACACTATTTTCTAATATTCAAATGGAATCTGTAATTGAAACCCATTATTCTGAGTTCTGCACATAGGAGTACAGATCTTGACCTCCTTTAGTTCAATTGTCTTTCAGGTATCTGATACTATCATATCCCCTCAGTCTTCTCTAGGAGAAATAATCCTAGTTTCTTCAGTCTTTCTTCACAGAACTTGTTTTTTTGTTCCCAGATCATTTTTATTGTCCTACTTTGAATTTGCTTAGGTTTACCTGAATTTTTATTACCATGGGATGTCCAGAATTGGATAAAATAGTAAAGAAATCACCTGAGTGTGCAGTACAAATATTATTTCACATGATTTGGAAAGTGTATTTTTATTGATGCAACATTTGCCTTTTTTGCAGTCACTTCACATTTCTTGTTTTTGGTTGTCAGTCTTGTACACTGGGCCTTATTTTTGTTTGTTTGATTTCCTTCATTATGAAGAACTGCATCCTCTGTCAACTCTTGTTGTAGTGCCACCTTTCTCTGATCTGAGAAACCTTCGCCCTCTCTTTTCAGTTGAAGTATGGTGACTCGTTGCTCCAATCTTCTGACTTTTTCTTTAGGGGGTACTACAAAGTTGCACTTCCAAATTATTTTCAGGCAGAAATACAAAGAAGCCCTAGGGCTTACAACTGTCAAGTTCTGTCTGTTCATCTTCACTTTTATTGCTTAAGATAGGAGAAATATTTTTTCTTCTCATTACCTTCTCTGGTCCTCAGGTTAGCCAACTCATTCTTGTCCTAAGAGGAAAAAGTTTGGCCAAGGATTCCCCTTAAACTCTCAGTGAAAGAACCTGGTAGCCTTATATTCCTTCTACAGACTCTGGTAGAAGGAATCCCACAATGGTAAAAGTCACCAACAATTGTTAACAATCAGCTCTCAGGTCACACGCCTTGCAAACAGCAGTTATTCAGGAGACGAGCCTTTTACCCATCACAATTGAATACACAATCCCTCAGAACCTATTTTTTCCTATTCCCACAAAATGGGAAAATCAGAGTGTACCTGAATTCACAGCAAGCTTCACAAAAGTGGTTCTTATTCCCTATGGCTTAAAGACATTCCAATCCAGTATCTTTTAGATGCACTAAACTACAAACTCAATGGTCCCCAGCGCTCATGGCCATCTAATGGCCACCAGGTTAGAGAGGGCCATTCTAAATCCTCTCTCAAGAAATCACCCCAAAGATGCAGTCTAGTTTTTTGGTGATCTTTCTCTCAACTAAGAGAACCATAAATAAAGGCAATTCCTCCACTTGACAGGAACTAAGTGCCTTAAAATAAGCATGAGTGTCTGAATAATTCTCTCAATCAGATTTTACTAATACCAAAAAATATAATTACTTAATGACATTGTCCATTGTTATCTCCTTAAAATGTACTCTTGTCTGACTTTAGCTGAAAACAGTACTTTATGGTTAGACAAATTATTCTGAAAGCAACTCAGAACGAATGCCTATTATTACACAAATCCACTCAATCTAACAAAAGTGCTAGACTCAGATGTGCCTCTCTGGGGAAAAATCTCATGGTTTTCATTTCACAAGTAATGAATTCGCATAAAAATGGTAAAGGCATCCTTGAGTTGAACTCTACTTCTGGTGACATCTATGCATCATGGAAGTTGTTTGCTATTCTGTTCTTCCAGGATTTTTTTTTTTTCATTTCCCTGTCTAGTCTATAGCCAAGGAAATCCTATATGGTCCCTTATCCAAGTACCAAGCAAGGTCAACCTTGTTCTGAAATCAACCAGGTCATTTGAGTATTGTCACCTGCCGAATTCATACAACACCCCCCCCTTCAAAACCCCCCCCGACTAATCTGACTGCAAATAAAGGTGAGGGGTCTGTTAAAGACAGATTAAACCCAAGGCAATCCTTTTGTTTGGAAACAATAATGCACAAGATTTTGTGCCTGCTTATGTCCATCTTAGTAGAGGTAAAGAAAAATGGGAGCAATTTTATTCCATAATTTACTTTTCCCTCTTGCTCAGATTCTGGTTGTTAGAATTTCCATGTGCTAAGTTAAAAGTTTAATGTGCTTAATTTTGTGATCTTCTCAGCTAACTATTTAACAACCATCTATGTACCATGCTTACCAGAGTAAGAGAGAAAAAGATCACACACACCCTTTTGGGGATATAGGTTTGCCATTCCCAGCTGGATTCCTAAGAAATTGACCTCCACTCAGAATTCACTGGGGAGAAGAAAAAGGGTCCATCTAAGAATTTCCCTTAATGAACTCTACCACATTCAATATCAAAGATGTTTGGTGATCAAATGAGCAAGATTACAACCATAATGGAGTGGTATCAGATTACAGCAGCACTCCAAGTTCATTTAGGTCCCCTCTTTTGTTTATTGTATTACTGTGATTATTTCAACTAGTATTCCATTAATATTCACAGTCTTTTAAATTAACTCAAAGACCAGTAGCAATCTGCTAAAATGTATTAGTTTTTTAAAAAGAGAATAATGTTATGTAGAAATAATACCTGGTGTTTGATGGGGAATGTATATTTCACCCAGGTTGCTTGTTGCATGGTTTCTTCTTCCTCTTGTTTTCTCTCCTTTTTTTTCACCTTCTCTTTTTCTTCTCTTTCAATAGCTGTCATTCTGCGTAACCTAATCATAAGATACACATTAGAGCATTTAAAGCATGAGGCTGATCTAGAATTGTCAAATATTTTGATGTAGATCATTAGAACTGCTTTTATACACACTCTAATATGTTACCTGGTGTGACCCAAGGACTCCCTCCAAATGGGCAGCATAACAACTGGTTTAATTGCACATTCCAATATAGCCAGAGCCAATGCAAATTCTCTAGGTTTGCTGCACATCTGGACAGCTTTGATCCAATTAGATCTATTATTTGACAAAAATATGAAAAGTATTAAGTATATTGTATTCACTTAGCCATCTCCAACAACAGCAAAACAAAAATAATAAAACAGCAAGCAACAACTGCAATGATACAAAAAACCCTTGAAGTGCTGATAACTTAACCCTATCTTTAACCGTAGTCCTGGGTGTATTAGAGTACATCTACAGCATGATAAAATATAAAATCTGATGTTGTTTATTTTCATTCAAATCCCTCCTTAAAATCTACTTCTTTGTGATGTCTTTGGTATAATATCCTAGTTCCCTTCTCTGCAACAGAAGCAACTACCTACTGCTTTCATGTTTGCCTTATTTTCACTCCTTTTTTTTCCCCTTTATTTCTCCAGTGTTGAATGTTCAACTGAAAGCTCCTCAATTCTGGTGTGTTTTCCCATAATCTAATGCTTATATGCACAAAATACCTAGGAAAACCACAGATGTCTTTTTACCTGTGTGAAGCCCAGTTGGGATGAAGGAATGAGGAGGGGATGTTATTCTCTAGCTGAATTATTGTTAACCTTAGAGTGGATATTGTGAGAACCTTTGACCCATGGACAGAACCATTCCATTTGAACTCTCCAGCAGGACTCAGACAAAACTTGTGAGAAAGGTGACGCCTTTTGTCATGGTCTTCTCGGTGTTGATGTTTATTCAGAGCAAAAGAATTGGTAGCATATTGATTATGGTAGATGCGATACTTCCCTTCTTGACCCAGCTTGAAATAATTGCTGATGCTTCCTTTCATCACTATTTCCTTCTTGGTATTCATTCGGGAAATTTCCCCTTGGGAATTAACCACAAGCACCTTATTGAAGTCAAAACAAAACAAACAAAAGCAACAAAACTTAAGAACATTTATTCTTTAAACTTAAATTTTAAAGTTTTAAACAAGAAAGAGGCAAAATTCTGCAGCCTTTAGGAACTACCATGTTAAGAATGAGCAACAATGCTTACTATAGCATGTATCTGACCACACAGGTTTTGCCTCATTATTTCATTTTATTCCATTTCTGTATTATTTGTAAGCACTTAGAGCCTTTCTAGAATTCAACAGCATAAATATTGTGGTAATAAATAAACACCTGAATAAACCTCAATAATAAACTAAGCTTGCATTTCCATCAACATTTTTGGCCGAAACAACATAAGTGGATTCATGATCTCTGATAGCAGCACAATATTTCTGCATTCCAGAGCAAAGAAACTGAAATCACATGTTTAGGAAAATGAATACCATTCCTGACTCAGCAGCATACAAGTATAATAATAATTAAAAAATACACACACACACACACATGCATAGATGTTGATGCCATCATTGCTAGTATTGGGTGGCATTTCCATACACATTTACTTTTGATAGGTTTTGTTTCTTAACCACTATGTAACTATGTTCATTTGGCACTTCTAAGAATCAGAACACTTCTTGTTTTCAACACTAACACAAACCTCTTTGCCTTCTTTAAAAAGCTTATTTGCTTCATGTGCTGCAGCAGCAACCTGCTGACTTTTTAGCTGGCTGAGTTTGCTATCTGGATTTCGTAAGCGAGTGACCATTCGTGTTGAACCTGGAGTGCCTCTTCCACTGCTTGGAGATTCACTTCTCTCACCATTAGATTTATCTCCTATCAGATAAAAAGGTTTAAATAGGAACATACAAGTAAGGCAAATGAGTACAGCTACTCATACCATTTAAAACTAAAAACTAGCAATCAGCATATCCTAGTGACTATTAGCGTTATTTTTACCTAGGTCCTCTGAGTTCTGAGACCCTCCTTCAATGGTTTCCACTTCATCAGAATTCTTCACAGATTCGCTCTGCATAGAATTTGGTTCATTGCTACTGCTGTTTTCTGGATCAGACAAAAGTGCTTCAGCAGATGAATCAATGTTCAGATTATGAATTGTCTTAGTTGTTTCATCTACAAAAGACAGCTATTTTAGGTACTTAGTATTACCTGAAGAACACTTCAAAATAGAACATTAACATCTGAAGTCAAAAAGCTGCAAAATGTTAATATGAATAAATTAATAATTATACATGATGGACACATTTAAAGCATATAAGGAACGATTACACAGAAGTACTATATCTTTTACTTTACACCCACATCCCTACTGGGAAAATAATTCTATTTCTTAATTTAGTTCCAATAATGATTTTTTTCCTTCCATTTCAACAAGCATATCTAAAGATCAAACTACGTATTTTGCAAAATTACCCAGGTTTCTTTCAGATTGTAGTACAGCAAGTATGATATTGCTTTAATGTTATGAGCATATAAAATTGCAACTAACCCCTTGCATGTACTCGGGAAAGAGAGCCATTCTCTGATGTATTGCTTTATATTATTTGTTCTGGTGGGCAAGCATGGAACTAGGGTTACTAAAGACTTGGAAGAACACTCCTAAGGAAGCCCTAGCAGTCATGGATAAAAGGAGAAGGAATAAAATAACATTTTCAACAACAAAAAGTGGTTTGTGTTGAACTTAGTGCTTTTAAAAATAAACACCAGGATAGATAGGATTAAAACAGTGTTATATTATTCAGAATTACAAGAATCCAGATAATGGACAACAAACAAACAAACAAGCTTTATTGTTCACTCCTAAAAGTGCATGCCCTCATCATACCAAATCAGACTATTCATGTGGTTGTAATATTCACAGAGTTACTTCAACCATATAAAATAATATTATGGAGACAAAGCTCCTCAGCAGATACATCATGTGAAACTAATAGAATGCTGTCCTTTCTGTACATTTCTATATTATTTTAGGCTGGAACCAGGGGGAGACAGGTGGACAGATGAGAAAGGAGATAAGGAAAGGCAACTTCCCACTGATAATATACTTAATATTAATTAGGGTTTATTTCAAGAAACTGTGTTGACAAGCCACCATCTGAAGTTGATGTCATAACATTAAACCTAGTTAATGTTATGACAAGCCACCATCTGAAGTTGATGTCATAACATTAAACCTAGTTAATGTTAGCAATTTAATGTGTCAGACAAGCGAAATACAAAAAAGAGGGAGTAAAAGATGATTATCAAACTGGAGGCAGCTCGGCACTTTGTGATTAATAATCTTCCCTACCATGGTGACTCTATGATGTTTTAGTTTACAATTCTTATTAGTACAGGGCAGCAAGACTTTGGATTTTATAATCCAAAGCATCTAGTTGATATTTTATCGGAAATACCAGCATTAAGCCATCAGTTAGCATAACTAGCAAATATAGTAATGTGAAAGATGTTCATTAAACATCTTTAACCAATGTATATCAATACTGTACCAGAATTTATGCAGACTAAATTTGTGCCTTTGAATCAGTCTTGACTCCTGGTGACTGCCTGGAAAGGTTCCTGAAGTTTTTTGGCAATATTTTTGGAAGTGGCTTGCCATTGCCTTCTTTCTAGGGGTGAGAGAAAGTGACTGGCCCATCACCCAGTAGGCTTTGTACCTAAGGCAGGTCTAGAACTCCTGGTTCCTAACCTGGTTCCTTTAATCACTAAACCAAATTGGCTCTCTTATGCAGACTAAAACTGTAAAAAAATTCAGACACATACCAATCAAACTCCAATATACTCTGAACTTAATAACTATATAATGACAAAGAAACATAAGCAACATTCACATTAACTTTAGGAAACTACTAATTTAGTTCAAGACACAAAAAATATCTTTGTACCTGAAATATCCTTAAGGTCTTCTGATGCCAAATTTTTGTCTGCCACATTATCACCAAGGATTTCTGAATCACATCCCACTGTGTTCTTCCCTTCAGAAGCATCAGCCTCTCCTGCAGAAACATCTGTGATGCTGCTTCCAGGAAGTGATAGCACAGAGTTGTTTTTATCACAAGCATCTGCTGGTTCTATAGGAAATGCATGGTAAAAGTTCATAAAAAGTTCATTTTTAAAACTGGTTTACAAACCACATGAATTGACCTTGAACTGAAAATAAGTTCATGACAGCAGATAGCGTTCTCTCTCCTCAAAAGCATCACTGGGGAATTACAGCTGATTCTTCAGTGAAAAATAGCTGTATGGATTATAAAACTGAAATATATATTGTACACTGCTTAAAAAAATGCATTAGCATTGCTACTGTAACAAATATATTAACTTAGCAAATATATCACTATTACCTTCCTTTCTCCCTTTTTCAGAACTTTCCTCTGCCAATATTTCCTTGTTGACATCCACCTGTTGGTTTGAAAGTTCTTCTTTTCCATTCTCAATATCTGTGCACTCTTTATTTTCAACAGTAGCCTTTTCTTCATCAGCAACTGAGCTTCTGTCCTCTAATAGCTCCCCCTTTTTGCCTCTGATTGCTTCTAAAATTTCTTCTAAAGCAAACATGGGGGAAAAAAAGATGAATTAAGACCAACCGTTTCAAGTATAAGAGTACAGCCTATACACTATGGTTTTGTAATGCACCATGATACCCTTTCAGAAGCACAGAAGTATATGTGTGGCAGATCCATATGTGAAAATGAACTGAGTACCCAGGCCATTGTACAGTTGGCAATTATGCAGCATTTTGCAGATGCTGAACTTTTTCTACCTTTTTTATGGGGTGGCTTTTTAAGTTAATGTTCATTCTCTCCAACCCAGCCATATAGAGGGTAACACAACTGTACACCCAGATAATTTGGGAGGGCTGGAGAAAGACTGGTAACCTACTCTGGTATTATCACCAAAATATTATGGAAAGGTTTTCAAAAAAACCCTCAAAGATGGCATTGCAAAGTGGAGTGCCAGGCTAGAAGTATGAAATATGCTACTGGGAAAAAACAACATGCTACAAATAAACTAGGAAATTATGACACAGAAGGGGAAAACCCCCTTGGTGGACCAGAAAGCTGATGAAATCTATGGCAGAAGAAACCATCTGCACTGGAAGAAAATGAATAAGATTGGCATGTGGAATGTATGTAGCATGAGCCATGGGAAGATGAATATTATCAAGAAAGAAGTAACAAAATAGGTATTCTCAGTGTTATTGAGATCAAATGGACTGGGAAAGATTACTTTGAATCAGATGTATTTACAGTATACTATTCCAGAAAGGACAACATCAGGAGGAAATGAGTAGCATTGATAACCAATGACAGAATAATGGCTATCTGAATCCAATCTAAACTCTTAATGTCACAATTTTCTATATTTATACATCAATAACAGATGTATCTGAAGAAGAAATAGAAGAGTTGTATGCTGACATTCAAGAAGCACTACTACAAATGCAAAAAAGAATATAATATACATTGAGGGAGATTTCAACATCAATATTAGAGAAAGTAGAAGAAGTAGAAATTGTCAGTGGATTTGGTTTAGAGAAAAAAATGAAGCAGATGACCATTTGGTGCACTTCTGTCAAGAAAATCAGCCGAAGATCACCACTATATGGTTTATTTAATCCAAATGACACTTGCATACATGGACATCTCCAAATGGACTGTACCACAACCAAAGTGATCACAACTTATGCAGCCAATGAGGGAAACACAGTTCTCTCTCTTAAAACTTTGGCTGCTGCAGACTGTGGCTTGAATTATGAATGACTTGTACCAAAGTTGGTTTCAAATTCAATTTGAAATTGCACATAAGCACCAGGAAGTATGGTATTGACAACATTTCATTTCTATATGCAGTTGAAGTTGAAGTAAGGAACAGATTTGACTTAACTTTGTGGAAAAACTACCACATGAATTATGGGAAGAAAACACCCCAGGAGCATTTCCCATACTCTTCCCCCAAAATGAAGACAAATAGTTTTCAGAGAAAACAATTCAAATTGCTGAACAGGGAAGGAAAGCCAAAGCCATTGGTAAGAGATGAAGCAAGGTAGCTAAATATAGAATTTCAATGTAAAGCTAGAAAAAAATAAAGAAAATTGCTGGAACGGGCATTTCAAAGAAATGGAAGAAAGAAACCAAAAAGGGCATACTGGAGATCTTTTGTTATAATAAAGAAAACTCAGACACTATTCACTGTACATAAAAGAACAATAAGGGCAAAGATGGGGAGGAACCAAATAATCAGAAGCAAATGAAAAATAGATGGAAGGAACAGGCTAAGGAATTGTATATGACTAGTAACACTCTTCAACAAGCAGAAATTCGAAGCAGAGCCCAGTATACTGGAAGATGAAGAAGGGCACTGAAACAGCTGTCAAAAAGGAAAACACCCGGAATTGATAACATTCCATCAGAATTACTTAAATCGCTACCAACAGCAGCAACTGCAAAACTATGTCAAAAATGTGGGACATCAATAAATGGCTGAAAGACTGGAAAAGATCAGTGTTCATCCCAATCCCAAAGAAGGGTGACA